AAGTATTTCCTGATAATAAAAAACATTAATATTTATATAATTTTTAATTATTAATACAAGCTTTAAAAAGTTTTTTAAACATAATTTTAAAAAATGTCATCTCTCTAATGGTCTTTTGAGTACCTTCATTACACTAATGTTAAAGAAAGAGGAAACTCAAAGGTTGGCTAACATCTTTAATATTACACAAATATGTAAGTGGAAATTCATATTAAGTTTTTCAATTTTAAATCTTAATGTTCTTTCTACTTTAACATGCCATTGAAACATTCCTTGACAGCAGTCAGGTTTGAGGTAGGTGTGCATTTCAGGATCTATAGGGAGTGGTGCCTAATTATTTGTAGTCAATTTTTCTGTGCTCAGACAGAATGAATCCCCAACTGATTCTAATGCCTACCTCTGGTTAAAAAATACTGTTTTCTTCCAGTCTTTTAGCTCTTCTTTTTCTGTCTACTGAGTTCATCTAAATTAATGCAGACAATATGAATATGACAAGGGGTTGACTGATAAATAATACACTAATGTAACTTTTACTGTTCCAGATGTTTAAGTATATCAACACCACTTTTGAAAACGCAGTGCAACTATAGTTCCCTGGTTGCAGTACTAGTGAGTCTCTCTTGACTGGTGCTTAATGGAGGGGGAGTATAAACTAATCCACTGTGGTAGCTAAATCTATAAGGGTTTCCTCTCCTGCTACTCTGATAACAGTTTTGGCTAGTGAGTAGTTTGCTCCAGATGTATTCCAGTCCTAATATACTGACTCCTTGATGCTTGTAGGTGGTGTCTTCATAGATGTTTTTAACTGATTGGTGACATATTTTTAATAATCTTTCACCAACTGTGTTGAAGATGTTTCTGTGTCCTGGATTAAATGGTGTTTTGGGCCCTATGTAACCCTGATTGATTGTATCATGTTACTAACAACTTTTTTTGTAGTTGGTAAATCTGCTTCCCTTTTTGAAGGCAAGAGCTCAAAATGCCCTTTGAATGAAAGAACAATATAATGGAGAAGGGAATATACTTCCTAACCCATCCACCCTCAGATAAGCAAAAATTAATCAAATTGCACAGTGAAATTTTTAAAACCGAGAAATGTTTTCAAACATACAAAGACAGATTCTATTGGAGCAAGATATTAAAATGAGAAAATTAAGCATTTGCTATTTGAGGCAGGAACCTTGAGGTCTTCGCAGTAAGCGAACTGTCTTCTAACTTTCAAAAGAGTTATCAAAATGCAGTTGAAGCAGTGGCTACAAGTTTAATTGTGTTAAAATTAGCTTTTAGTTTTCTGAGCGGAGGTGTTTGTCTGCTTCTTTGTTGGAACTAATGTGTTTCGAATGTTCTTGTATAAAGGCATACCTTTCTTAATACAGGAACTCTGGTAGTGTAGTGCCTCAGGCATTTGATTGCTAACCAGAAGGTTGGCTGTTCAAACCCACCAGCCACTCCTCAGAAGGAATGTTGGGCAATCTACTTCTGTACTGATACTGCCTCGAAAACCCAAGGAGGGGGTCGCTGTGAGTCAAACCTGACTCAGTGGCAGTAAGTTTGGATTGGTTTTTGGTTTCTTAATTCAGAAAATACAGTTTTGATTATTTTTTATTAGGAGGGTTTAGTCAGTTTTTGGTTAAATTGACGAACTTCAGTAATATGGCATTCTAATTTAAACTAAAAAAACTTTTTTTTTTTTTTTTTTTTTAAGTTTACCTGCAAGGCATTTAAGGGAAAAGTCCTTGTCCCTGGTCTATTTTTAAATAACATAATATTCTAAAATAATATTAAAGGATATATTATTACATTAACTGTGGCAGTGGGCTTGGGTGTTTGGTAATGTGCATATTGGATTTGACTTCTTACACTATAAATTTTCTTATAGTTAAATCAGGGTAAAAATATTTTAATTAAATATTGAAATTCTTCTCGAAGATTTTTTAAAACCTGGTAATCACAGCTCCATAGTGCCTAAGGCACTTGACTGATAACCAGAAGGCTGGTGGTTCAAACCCACCAGCCACTCCTCAGAAGGAAGGTTGGGCAGTCTACTCCTGTAGTGATACTGCCTCGGAAACCCAAGGTGGGGTCACTATGAGTTGGGACCGACTTGACAGCACATAACAACAATACAATCACAGGTCAACACAAAAGTATTGTAAGACAGTTATTTTTCTGTTAGTAGTACATCCAGAATCCTGCACTTAGTAGATTTCTACTTATTTCCATTTGGTGTTGAGAAATCTGGTATATTGGCTTACATGTTACAAGTGTGGCAGTTCCTTTTCTTTATTTTTTAAAAGCTGGTTTATCTTATTTTCTTAATTTATGATAAATGACACTTGATGGTTCGTATAGACTTAAATCTAGATGCATTTTTAATGTATTCCAAAAGGTGGAAGATACACTAATATTCTATCAATTCTGAGATATACTTTTTTTATGTTTCAACAGCTCTGAAAATGCGATGTGTCTTAAAATCAGTGTTGTGTCATGGCTTAATAGAAGCTTTTCTTTTTTTAAACAAAAAAACCAACGTGGTAGTGTATGAAACTAATGGTGCATCTTATAATAATCACTGATACATTTGATAAAAAATGGTGATTAACTTTTCATTGTTAGTGGAAATTATGCATATATTCTTTTTTATGATATGGCATATCTTTATGGTGAAAAAACCTAAGTGGTAGAAATATACCATATTATTTGAAATTACAGGCCATTCTAAGTAAGACCTTTGAGTCTTCAGATCCTTTACTTTTTGTTCTCACTGCTGTCATCCTAGTATAAGTTCTTTATATTAAACGGGTTTCCTGTCTGTGAGTATTCCATTGAATGCCATCCAGAACAGTGAAAGAAACCTGGAGAAGGAGACAGGAGGTAGTGGGTGTAGCCTCCAGAGTCAAGAGAAGAAAAATAGGGGGAAGGAAACTCTGGGTGAGGATACACAGCATTTTCTATTTACCCATCATCTTTGCATGTCCAGAAATCTTTTTCTGCTTTAATCTATTTGTGATAAATTAGCCTTTGTGCTACCCAATAAGTAGCTAAAACCAATCCTGCCAAACTCTTAGATTCCACAAGCATAAAGCCCTCTTACTAAGGCCTCTCCTATTCTTCAGGAGTTGCCTTGGACCCCTCTATCCCTGTAGATAAATCATCTGCTGGTACCTTACTTTCTACAAACCAAAGACTGTCTGGTGGGTCTGTGTTCCTTTGAATGTACTGTCTTAAAATGTGTAACTGAAATGGAAACTGCTTCATACAGAATACATTACCCAGAATTTTTACAAATATGTGCATAATTGAATTTTTTGCTTTTTAAAAAGGTAAAGGAATGTCCTACAGGTACTTAAAATATATACTTAAACATATATTTAAAAACTTCCATACCTTTCTCTGTCTTTCAGCATTTAGATAGAAATTGGTGTGGTCTTTTAACTTACTGTATTCTTATTTCCAGAAGCAATAGTTTATTTGTAAAATAGATTAATATTTCATATTCCTGCTTTAGCTTTCCCTTCTCTAAGCTGAGAATGTATACTTGAGCAATTTATCTATACTCTTCAGTAATGGCATGTTAATCCACATTTAAAAAGAGTCACAAAGCATATTTGCCTAACATAGTGCTTTCATTTATTTATTAACTCCACTTTAAGCAATATCTTTTTAAAAATTAAAACTTAACATTAATAAAATATAATTTAAAGGAAAATTTCAGTATAAAACTTGAATTGATTTAATTTCTTTTTCAAAAGAAACGTTTGCTTTTAAAGGAATTTACCCCAGGAGTATTATAAGTACTCCACAGAGTTTTTGAATACCCTGCATGGACTTCTGGAAGCCATTCTTACTGCTGTCTGTAATAGGCTTGGTATTACCATGTGTTTTGTTCTCTTGTGCTGCTTGAACAGAAATAACCACAGATGGGTAGCTTTAACAAACAGGACTTTATTCTCTTACAGTTTAGGAGGCTAGAAGTCCAAGTTCAAAGTGCCAGCTCTAGAGGCTGATTGAAAGCCCCTCGACCTTGGCCTTCAGCTCTGCCTCTTGCTCCCGGCCCACTGGAGCTAGAGTCTTTTCTTAATTCAGGCAGCTGCTGGCTGCTGAGGCTAGCAAACCCAGGGTTGACAAGTAAAGAGAACAGTCCCAAGATTATCAAACAACACAGCAGGCCACTAATTCAAGTCCAGAGAAGGTCCCAAGATTGGCAGAGTATGGCAGGCTGCTGAATGACGTCTTGGCTACGTGCAGGGTCTAAGCATGCCAAAAAGCTGCAGACCATTCCGAAAGCATCTCCTTATGTACTGAAAGGAGACCACATCCCTAAAGCAGCTACTCAGCTGCTCACGGCAGATTCCACCATGGTGTTTATTGCATCTTGTCCTGGGGAATAACTACAGCTAGCCACCCAGCCACTCAAAACCAGGCCCAGCCAAGCTGACAAGTTAAGGTTATGACCTTAACTACCACACCGTGGTAAAGGATTGTGAAGAATTTTTGTATCCAGTGTCTGAAACTCAATTTTCCAAAAGAGTCTTTCAAAATCTGCACAAAAGATTTGGTGTGTCTATACATTTTCTTGAGTTAAGCCATTTTTAAAGTCCCCTATTTGGGATGATTTTTAAAATTTATCTAGTTTTATTTATTTTTTTTTAGAATTTTAAATATAGTATTTTATTTCCACTCTTTGCAGCCACATGACACTCTAAATAATCTTTTATATAAAGTTTTAGAGCAAAATCATATGGAAGTTGGGAGATTCTGTGTTCTTGCTTATTGCAATGTCTAATAGAGTATAAGTAGAAATGAGAGATACTGCCTATAAGTAAACATTATTCATTGATTTTTGTGTAGTATTTAAAATAATGTGTTCTGAGTTATATGTATTTTTGAGGAAATATGCCAAATAAGATGGAATTGCTATCTTTTATAAATTAGCATTCACATGAATCTTTTTTCACTCTGACAGATTATTGTCCTGAATTTATATTCTCTTTCCTCAGAGGATGTACTGAGTAAAGATGCTGGGGAATGTGCAATATGCCTTGAAGAACTGCAGCAGGGAGATACTATAGCACGACTGCCTTGTCTATGCATATATCATAAAGGGTAAGTTTATTTTGATGTTAACCAAGTTGATATTAGAGTAAAAGATTGTTCTCACAGTTTCAGACATTGGGAATTTGTAGGCTGTAAAGTTGTCATCTTCACTGAAACTACCCCCTCCCCAAACTTGCCCCCCCTGTTAGAACTAAAAGTTGAACCCACATCTGTTTGTATTCAAAAACTGCCATTTGTTAAGTATTTATTATGACTCCAGCATTGTCCATAGTGTCTTACGTAGATTATCTCATGTAAGCCTTATAACAACCGAATTTTACAATTGAGGGACTCTCTTTCCAATGTCAATTTCCAATTTCCAACAACTCAATTTCCAATGAAATCTTGGCAGAGCTAAGATTTCAGCCAAGTCTATGTGACTCTTAACCCATCTGATTTATCAAACAATATTCTTTAACACAAGAAAATTTTCTAATAAAATACTATTTAAGGATGCCACTAAAAGAATAGAAAAATTATAACTGTAAAAAGGAATAAAATTGGTTTTTATTTAAAGGCAGGAGGAGCAGCACAGAGAAAGCAGAGTAAATGACACAAAATAAGGAGGCAAAAATAAATTCATATATTCAGTAAATATAATAAATCTGAATGGAACGTACCCATTGAAAAATAGACTAACACATTGAAATACACTGTTGTTAAACAACACATTTAAACATAATGACACAGAAAAATATGAAAGTAAAAGGATAATAAACTATATCTAGCAAATACTAAGAGAAAACTAACAAAGCTAAATTAATATTGAACAAAACAAACATTATAGCAAAAACCATTTTTAGGGACAAAGAGTATCACTATAAAATGATAAAATATATATATATATATATATATATATATATATAAATTAAAAGGAAGATAAAATTTTATAATTCTGTTTTTCTGTGTACCTAATAACATAGTCTTAAAATATTTCTGGAACAATCAGAAAAATAGACAAATCCATCAGCATAATGAAAAATTTCAACACACCTCTCATTGAGTTAGCAGATGGACACAAACAAAATCAATCAAGACTTAGAAAAATTGAACAATATAATTTAAAAGTTTGATCTTTGTCTTTTCAAGCATACATGAAGTCATATAAAAAGTGATCACATAATAGACCATAAAGCAGATCTTAGCAAACTACAAAGAATTGGACCACACAGAACATGTTCTCTTACTGTTGTTACAAAAAAAAAAAAAAAAAAAAAACCCACTGCCAGCTAGTTGATTCTGACTCATAGCAACCTCCATTAGGAAATCTTTACGGAAGTAGATTGCCTCATCTTCCTTCCACGGAGCAGCTAGTGGGTTTGAGCTATCAACCTTCTGATTAGCAATCAAATGTCTTAGGCACTGCGCCACCAGAGCTCCTTCTGACCACTGTTAGATGTCAATAATAAAAAGATAAATAATCCTCATATAAACTTCTAAATAACTCATGAATCAAAGAGGAAACCATATGGAAATTTGAAAATACAGAGAACTGAATAATAATGAAAATATCTACCTATCAAAACTTTTTGAGATATACCTAGAATGATCCTTAGGAAGAAACGTATATATAGCTTTAACAAACAAAAAAACCCCATAGACCTACAGGGATAGTTTGGCACCAACCTCTACCAGACACCCAGAGAACATCATAATAGCAATCTTAAATTCTCCCGAAGAATAGAAAAAGAAGGAAAGTTCCCCACTAATTTTATAAGAATAGTATAGACTTCATATTACAATTAAACAAGGAATTAGTATAAGAAATGAAATTAGAAGTCATTCTCAATTGTGAACATACATGCAAATATCCAAAAATATTAGCACCCTAGATCCAGTAAGGTATATCTAAAATAATGCCTCACAAGCAAATTGGATTTATGCTACAAATGCTAAGATATACTGTAAGATTAGAAAATTTATATATGTAATTCACCACCTGACAAAGGGGAAATAAATGTGAGAAAGCATTCAATAAAATTTTATAATTATGTGTTAATGATTTTAAAGCAGAAGTCAAGAATAAATACTAGATAAGTTGTTAAAATTAATATTAATTAAGACAGTGTGGACGGAATATCATCCATAAACAGTCATGCATGTGTAGAGAACGCACATATCATGGGTCTTAAGAGCATGGACTCTGGAGCCAAGACTCCAAGATTTGAATCCTAGGTTCTCCACTAATTTACTGAGGACCTTGGTCAACTTGCTTAGTTTTACTCTCTCCCTCAATCTGTAAAATAGGAATAATGGTACCAGAATTGTTGCAAGGATTTAAAAGAGTTGAATTATGCAAAGTGCTCAGTAGATGCTATTCAGTATTTGTTAAATGAATGGGCAAAAAAAAAATGAGGACATCATTTGATTTTTCCTGGAGGTGTAGTAGGGAAAGGAGAGCTAGTCACTAAATGGTGCTGGGGACAGTTAGTTATTGATATGGGAGGGGGGGAAAAAAGTTGAATCCTTATCTCACATTTGAAATAAAAGTCAGTTCCAAGTTGACTAAATACTTCCCTGTGAAAAGCAAAATCTAAATTGTTGGGGAAAGAATATAGATGAGTGTTTTTGACCTCTCACAAACACCAAACTCATTGCCATTGAGTCGATTCCAACTCATAGTGACCCTCATTGGGTTTCGAGACGATAAACCTTCATGGAAGTAGGTTGTTCCATCTTCCTTCCACAGGAAGAAATTGAGAAAGTTACATGTTGTTGTTATGTGCTGTCGAGTCAGCCCCAACTCATAGCGACCCCTCCTTGGGTTGCCGAGGTAGTATCACTATGGAAGTAGTGGGTTTGAATTGCCAATCTTCTGGTTAACAGTCAGATGCCTTAGACACTGTGCTACCAGAGCTCCTTTTAGATAGGGAACAATTTTTGGTTTGTAAGATGGCCCCCTTTTAAAGCTAATCTTAAAAGAAAGCTTGATCAATTTGGCTGTTTTAAAATTTTAAACTTTTTTGCTCACAGCCCTGAAAAAGTTAAAGGCTAGAAAAAGAGGGAAAGTTCCCCATCATTTTCTTATAAATGACTGGGAGTGATTTTTAACACAAAACTAAGATTTGGTATCTGAAATAGTCCCTTCTCCTTAAGTGACTTTCTTTAATGCAAATTAGCTCATTGCAGTTGGTAAATGGGAAGATGTTGACCTTGTAATGCTTTGATCTTCCAGGTTCATACACAGTGTTTCCCAGTACATTAATATTTTTTTTGTTGTTGTTATGTGCCGTCAAGTCAGTCTCATAGTCAGTCACTCATAGTGACCCCTTCTTGGGTTTCCAAGGCGTTATCACTACGGAAGTAGATTGCCCAATCTTCCTTCCTAGGAGTGGCTGATGGGTTTGAACCACCAGCCTTCTGGTTAGCAGTCAAGTTCCTTAGGCTCAATGCTACCAGAGCTCCCATTAATGTCTTACTCCATCAATCAATCAATAAATAAATAAAACAGCATATGAAAGCAAATATACTAATATAGCAAGCCTGGAGGAATTCAGTACTGTGAGAATACCCATTCACTTCATCTTCTTACTCTTAGTTCAATTAGGGTGTAAAAGCATAGGGTGGTATATGACTTCCTCTAACTTCACAAGGGGGAAGTAGGATCAAGATCAGAAGCCCAAGGCTGATTGTTATGAGGCAGAGGCCAGACTTAGCTCTACCCACAACCTTTTTTTACCAATTCTGACACCAGCCATCTCTCCCACGGCACTCTACTTCTCTATTGAGTTTGGTAATTTATCGCAATGGCCACACAGAACTCATAGACAATACTCAAAATTATGGGTTTTATTAGGGAAGTTACCAGGTTCCATTTCAGGATCAGGAACGAGTCAGGATACAGTTCTTTGATCAGGACAGCTTCTCCTCAAGCAGTGGCATAGGCACTCCTCTTTCTGGGGCCCTCAGAGGTTTCTGCTGAGGTCTGCCCGTATCCCCCTACACACACCCAGTCCTCAGGCAAATGTTACAAAAATCTTTTAGCTTTGCTGATAAATTCCCAGAGATACAGCACTTAACTTTCTTGCACTGTGGGCTGGGAAGCCCACCACTCTGTCACATACATGCCTGTCTCTTGGTTCTGCTGCCTCTGCTGCTGCCCTTTCTCTGCCACTGCTTCTTGTCGTCTATTGTTGTCTCCAGTGTCATAATTTTGTATCTCCTGGATCAAGGAGGTTCAGTGCAGAGATCTCGTGTCCAAAGGACCACTGTCCTCCTGGCTCTTTTCTTCATGGTAGTGAGATTCTCCTTTCTGCCTCTGGGGATGGCTTATTTAAAAACTAGCAGGATGGCAAAACTGACCAATCCTAACATTAGGGTTCCATACACCTTATTTGCATGGTCTCATCCCCACAGGGGTGCCATGCACCTTGTTTACATAATTAGCAAGCTATCTAATCCCCTTTGTGGGCCACAAGCACTTCACATTTGTGTAGTACCACCCAGTCATTTCATGGGAGGTACAAAGAGTATGGTTAGAAGGGCTGTGTAAGTCATTGACTGCACCTAATGAGTCATGGGCTTTGTTTTAGAAGCACTTATTTAATATGTCTCAAATGTTGTGCATTAGCTTTTGTCTCCATAATCCAGAAGCCTTACTCCTTCATCTTCTTTCTGTCACACTAACTTCACCTTTTTCTTTTTTGTTCTTTTTTAACATCCTGCATTTATGATAAAATTTATTAGGAATGTACCACATACTTTTAGTATATAGTTTTGTAGAACACAAGGTTTGTCAGAAGGGTTTGTTATATTATAGCTGAAATACCTAGGTAATAACTTTCTACAAATCTTTATCTTTAAGGAAAAAGCAAATTAAAATGAAAGTTTGGCAAGAACCGTTAATAGCTGATTCAGAAAAAAAGGAACCCCAAATACCAATAAACATAGGAAGAGTTACTCAGTCTCACCTAGTAATTAGGGAAATGAAAACTAAAGCTATCAGATTAGGAAAAATGTTTAAAAGTCTGGCACCTCTACTAAGTGTTAGTGAAGATGTGAAGCAACAGAAATATTGAGATGCTCCAAGTAGAAATAAAAATTTGGTACACTTGGTGGATAACTCTGTAATAGCTGTGTGTGATAAATATCCTGTTATTGTTGTTCATTGCTGTCAAATTGATTTTGACTTGTCGTGATCCCATGTGTGCAGAGTAGAACTGCTCTATAGGATTTTCAAGGCTGTGACCTTTCTGAAGTACATCACCAGGCCTGTCTTCCATGACACCACTAGGTGGGTTGAACTACCAGTCTTTTGGCAAATAGTCAAGAACTTAACTGTTTGTGCCAGCTAGGGACACGTGGTACATATCCTACTGCCTAGTAATTCCATTCCTGAGTATATGCCCCTTAGAAATTCTTGATCTTATCCTCTAGGACAATGCTAGTCTTCAAAAGTGAAAATCCAGGAGGAGGAAAGGAACTTGCACCAGAATTTAAATCAACACAGTGCTTCTTCCTTCATTGAGAAAGTCTTGCTATGAAAACCAAAAATCAAGCCAAGCAGTGTGTTTAGTGATGAAGTTTATTTATAATCTGGTATAAACTGCTTATCACTTTAAAGATAGATCATAAACCATCATGGACCAGCACTGTGTCTGTGGACTACACTTTTCATCACTGCTCTAAGAGACGTTAATGTTCATAGCATCATTGAAAATGTCTATCAATAACAAAATGGATAAATTGTAGTATATTTATATAATGGAATATTATACACAATGAACTCTGGTGGGGCAATGCCTAAGGCATTTGACTTACAACCAGAAGGATGGCAGTTCAAACCCACCAGCCACTCTAGGGAAGGAAGATGGGGCAATCTACTTCTGTAAAGATTTACTGCCTCAGGAATCCAATGGGGGTCACTATGAGTCAGAATCAACTCAATGGCAGTGAGTTTGTCTTTTTTCCCCAATACAAATTGAGTGAAAAAAGCAAGTTACAAAAGTATACTCTGTGGTAGCATTTCTATAACATTGTAAAGCATGGAAACAGTACTGTGTGTCATTTTAGAACACACACTTATTTGACTGCTAACCAGGAGGCTGGCAGTTCACACCCACAAGCCGCTCCTTGGAAGGAAGATTGGGCAATCTGCTTCCATAGAGATACCTCCTCAGAAACCCAAGGACAGGTTGCTATGAGTCAGAACAGACTCCATGGCAGTGAGTTTGGTTTTGGTTTATGGTTGTAGAGTAAGGAAAGATATAAGAATGAAAAGCACCAAATTCAGAATACTGATTTCCTGCTAGGGTTGGGAGAAGGGATGACAATAAAAATTTAAATACCAAAGAAAATAGTTTACATGAGTTGAGAGCAGTTTGTGTGAAAAGGTCCTGGAGTTTTAAATGATTATTTTCTCCTGATGAGCCAGAATTACGTGGTTGTAAAATAAAAGAGTACCCATCTTAGATCACATAAGTACTATTTAGATGTACTGTAAATTGTTAGCACATCTGGAGTATATTGGTTAGTCCTCAGTGCTTCATTTTAAAAGATACTCTGGTAGACCAGGCACCTTTAGAGCCGCCAGGTGAGTGGGATGGAGAGCATGCTGAAAATAATGTTATAAGCCAAACAAAAGGATGTTTACTTAGAGAGTAAAGATCTAGATAACAACAGAAATTGGCTTAGCTGTTTGAAAGAATATCAAGTGAATGAGATATTTTGCTTTTTAATTTCATCTGTCATTTTCATCTACCAAACCAATCTGTCAGATAAATATTAATTTTGCCCTTGAGCATATTTGCCATGCCTTCTAGCTCTGTGGCATATGCAAATTTTATATATGTCATCAGTGAAAATGTTGAACGGTTGAATTCTGCTTGGGTAATTTACTGGCTGTAGGGCAAGTTACTTAACCTTTAAGGCCTTGATTTTATCGTCTGTCAGAGCACTGTGGAATAGAACTTCTTGCAGTGATGGAAATGTTCTCTGTCTGTGCTGTCCATTAGAGTAGTCACTAGCCATATGGCTAGTGAGCACTTGCAATGTGGCTAATGTAGCAGAGTCATGGCTACTATATTGGATAGCACACATCTAGAGAGGATAATTACACATGCCCTACTATATAGCTTATAATAAAATAAGACTGTGAAGTGCTTTATAAATTCAAATGGATGATGACATATATATTGCAAGGTGGGACAGAATTAAAATAAATGTTGAAAAATCAGTTATACACATGAGGTCTTTGAAAAATGTGGTATATCATTATCAAGAGTTACATTTTAAAACTGCTTTTAACTATGTCAGTTGATGGCATGAACTGGTAGATATTTCCATAAATCCATAGCTGTTTTGAAGAGAGAAGTATTGGCTTAGATTTGTCTATTTTAAATATTGGTAAAGTGATATTTCTTTAGATACTATGGTAATGGTTCCGTTAAAAGTATTTTTATAGCATAATTTTACAAAGATTCTTTCCTTAACTGCTTAGAATAATCAAAATATAATAACATACCTTATCTTTCACTTATTTATGTCAAATATGGTAATAAAATGTTGGAGTTTCCTTTTCTGTAAAGATATACTGAAGTCAAGAATGAAGCATTTTTATGATTGTCATGATATAAATAATTAAACCTAACTCTTTCAATTTTTCTGATTTTGTTGCTGTCTAGCTGCATAGATGAATGGTTTGAAGTAAATAGATCTTGCCCTGAGCACCCTTCAGATTAAGCATCAGATTCCTGTTTTATAGGTAATTCTTCCTTTTAAAGTGTACGCTGAATGACAAGTTCTCGATTATCATTTTTATTTATTCATTTATTCGTTGAGGATTTTGTCTGTATGTTCCAGACATCGTGTGTTAAACTACTATATAAAAATTCATATTAAAAAATAAATAAATAACTATTTTCTTGATTCCTGAACAGAGTCGTATATTGGGTAATTTCTATACTCTAGATACTTTTAAACACACTGACCTTTTTAATTTTAACTCAACACTTTAAAAATTCAGTAAAATATTATGGCCCCATTTTACCAGTGAGCAACCTGAGGGTCAGAATAGTTGAGTTCTGTGACTTTAAGAAGCAGGTTACAGAGAGAGTTCAAGGTCATAGTTAGCAAATGGAATTAATTTGTTAACAGTTATATAGCATTATTATGTGCCAGGCATTATTATAAGCATTTTACATCTATTAACTCATTTGTTATACCCACCCTTTGAACTCAGTACTCTTACTGTTCCATTATGCATGTGAGGAATTTAAGTCAGAGTGAGGTTAAGGAACTTGACTTGTCAAGGTCGTGTAACTAGTTCATGGCACTATTTTGCTATTATTAGATAGGAGCAGTTTCTTCTAAAAGTTGCATCCTGGATTTATTCATTTAATTAAATCATTCACCTTTGTGTAAAAGATGAACCAAATCTCTTGTCATAGAGTTGATTCTGACTCGTACTCAGCATGTAATAAAGTGCTTATCATTGAGAACACCCTCCCAAAAAACTGAATTGAATTTTAATACTGGATAAAAATTTGTTTTGCTTTCCTGACTTAGTATATTTATGATACTGCATTATCTGAAAATATTCAGTGAACTGAATGATAACCTCACTTGAGTATTGCTTTTTTTCATAGTTGCATGAAGCAAATTAAATGACGTTGTTTAGCTTTGAAAAAGAAAGATTAACTTAACTTCAATGATGTCTTCAAGTATATGAAGAGTTTTTATGAGAAGATTATTGCAGAAATTATATAAAGCATTAGATTCTTACATCAAGACTGAGAATTTTAGCCAATCTTGGAATTTTTTCAGAAGGAGTTAGGGCCACTGTTTTCAGAGACTCAGAAGACAGTAACAGATACCAATCTTTTCTGGATGCCTAAGACAGGCTAAAGGCAGGGAACTAGATCACATGATATCCTGAGATCTAGTCCTGTACTAAGGAGCTCTGGTGGTATAATAATTGAGCACTCACCTGGTAACTGAAAGATCATCAGTGCAAACCCACCAGCAGCTTCACAGGAGAAAGACGTGGCAATTTGCACGCATAAAGATTATAGCCTAGAAAGTTATGGTAACTTTTTAGGCACAGTCCGCCACCCTGATGGAGCAAGTTGTTGGACCTGTGGGCTCGGGACTGTGGTCACAAGGGACATCAAGCTCAATTGGCATAACTTATTATACAAACACATTGTTGTACATCCTACTTTGGTGAGTAGTGACAGGGGTCTTAAAAGCTTGCATCTAGATGCAGTAATTGGTCTCTCCTCAGCCGGAACAAGGAAGAATGAAATAAACCAAAGACACATGGAAACAATTGGTCTAAGGGACTAGTGGATCATTCAGATCTCAGCTTATATGACCACTGTCAACCAGTCAGAAAGGGATCATTAGTACAAGAATCCTGGATAGATAGAGTAGGAGAAGAATGTGGAACAAAATTCAAAATCATAAAAAAGACCAGGTTTACTGAAACCCCCGAGAGTATGGCCCCTAGTTACCCTTCAGGCCTGGACGATAGATAGGCATATAGGGTAAACATTTACTCCAAGTAGATACACTCCTTAGAACAATCAATCATGGGAGAACAGAGAAGGGCAATGTTTGCACAGGGAGATAACTCAGGGAGCAGGAATGCATAGGAGAGAAGGACACAGGGAAGAGTTAACTATAAGGAAGAAGTAGGAAGAGAGCTGTTACACTGTGGGGATTGCAGATAGTATCGTGAAACAAAATGTGTATAAACTGCTGTATGGAAAATGAATTTGTTGTATAAACTCTCACCCAAATCACAATAAAAATTTAAAAAAGAAAAAAGATAGCCTAGGAAATCCTGTGGGGCCATTCTGCTCAGTCATAGGGGGTCACCATGAATCGGAATTGACTCAACACATAGAACAGTCCTGTACTGTTCCCCAGCTTCCTTTTATTTCATTCCTAGTCTTAAAGTCAAACCCACCAGCCACTCCTTGGAAGTGGGCAATCTACTTCCATAGTGATACCACCTCAGAAACCCAATCAATGGCAGAGTTTGGTTTTTTGGTTTAATCTTAAGTTTGAAAATGTAGGTACTGAAATAAAAACACATTCTTTTCCTCTGATGATGAGGATAATTTAAGAGCAGCAGATTCGAATGGATATTGACAAAGGAGATTTGAGCTAACTTAATATCTGCAACTTAAGTGACAGAGGGCTATGTATGTGAAACGTGAAAACCTTGGCAAAGGTAAGATAGTAAAAGACTCTCAGCCTTCAAACTTTTTACTGTGATTGTACCCAGATCAGACCTCGACATATTAAAAATATGAATCGGGGTAAGATTTCTGTGTAAGAGAAGTGTAGGCATGCTATTTTAAGTAATGTTCAGGTGTGTTTTTATTTTTGAAGGGAGAAGTACTAAAAACCAATGTTAGTGGAATGAAAATTTTATCTTACACACCAAAGTAATACATTTAAATCCTTCACTTATAAGTAAAATTTGTCTTTTAGAGTCAGTAAACTTATATGTGAGATGCTATTTTTTAGAACATAATTTTTTTTTTTCTTTTATGGTCTAATCAGTTCAATCTTTTCCTTTAATGTTAAAATGAGCTTATGGGATCTATAAGACCATGCATCTCACCTCATAGTCCGTATGGATGTCTGTGGTCTTAAACAGCATTTCAGCTTCCTTCTGTTATGTATCAATGTTATCTTCTTGTTTTGTTTGTATAAAGAACTCGAGTTTGAAGAAACTAGCTTAGTACATGAGCCTAGACTGTTTTGTCAACAGAAATCTGAACCAATGGGATCTATCTCTATAGATCTTAAAAAGACATTTTTAGCAACTTGTAGGCATGGAGTATCCTGACTCACATTTTTGTTTCTATTTTGAGTGCTTGCTCCTATTTGCTAAATGATAAATTCTTCCTGTCCCTTGTGTTGTCCCAGAGTGAAAGAAAACATGTTTGAAGAGGATTCAGTGTTCTAAAACACTGTGGTGGGGGAAGCAATATATAGCAGCAAAACCCAGAATTTCTGATATTCTTAAACATAACAATTTAATAATTAACCCAAAATACAGATACATGAATATGTAAAGTCTTGATCAGTTAGGTTTTTTTTTTTTTTTCCTACCATTTTTTGTTTGGGGCATTTAGTTATTGGGGAGAGATTAATTAGTGTATGTTCATATGTATGTGTATATATGTGTGTGTTTTAAATAATAACAGTTTCTGTGGTTTGGTATAGTTTTTGCTGTGGAAGAAGAATGATTCTGTTATATATTGGCTATTTTTTGGTTACTATTTACTATTTCAAACTTTAATTGTTCCTTCTTTGTTCTTCATATGTTCTTTTGCAGAATTCTAATGTTATGAGTTTCAGAATAATAAGAAATGGAAATTTACAGTAACTAAAAAATGCTCATGGGGAAATGGGTGTTAGGTTTTGATTTATATTACTCTTTTGGGTCACTGCTTAAAACTAAATATATCTATTTTTAAACAGGTTTTCTTGTCTCTTCAAGATGCTTGAAAAACCTAGAGGATATGAGGATCTATCTCTGGAAAAACAAAAACGCAGGCATTCTCAGCCACAAATCTTGAGTCCTGTGAGACTCCAAAATACAGAGATGGACAATCATACAGGGGAAAAAAAATTATCCTGCTGAAAAGAGGGACAGTTACCAGAGAACTCAGTGTACCAAACATGCATATAAAGGACACACACAGGGATTTAAAAAATGCTGCACATCCCTTAGTAGTCATCTATATAGGTAATACTGATAAACATTTTGTATTCAGATGCCAAAGTTAACTGATTTAAAAGTTGATTTACTTTTTATTAAGTTCTCGAGAGCTACACAACTAGTTGTGTTTTGTTATTTTGGTTTGGGGTCTCTTTATTTTCCTCATTTTTTGCATTCATCTATTCTTAAATTGAAAGCCACATAATTTGCTTCTTATAAATTAAAGTCTTAAAGGTGAAACTAAAAAGTGCAATCAAGCAGTAAAACATTCTCTGGATGCAGACTATGATTTCAAGTTCTTCCATTTTTTCCCCAAGAGTGGAAAATAGATTCTACATAGGAAAGCTAAAACATGTTACTATTTTAAAATTAAATGCATTTAACATTATCAGAGTGTAATCCAAAGAGTAAATCAGGTTACATAATTGCATTTTAATTAAATCTAGAATTGTCTACTCAATTGTAGTTTATTAAATATATTGTTTCCTTTTAAATAAAACTGCTCAACAGTTTATCAGCAGTGAATCAACTTGCAGCTATGCAACTTTTTGAAAAATACAAATTACCAATTTTAAGTGCTACCAGCTATAACAACTTTGTTTTAACGGGTATTTTTTTGTTTATTCTTTTCATGTAATTATTTTATTGTGCTTTGCATCTCCAGGCAGTTTTCCACATTTGGGTAAAATATTTAGAAGGTTATAAACTCAGTAACTTATGAAAAAAGTAAAATAAAATTTTCTGGTGTGGAACTTGGGGTATTTTAAGGGACATTTTATGTACTTTTAGAAATCACAACTCAATTGGGATGCCAGATTTATAGCAATTTGCATCTTTAATTTTCCAGATAATCTGGAGGTTAGCATTTGATAAATGATTTTTTTAAGCAAACATGAAGATTTTGTTAATTTATAATTTATTAATGTGTTATTACTATAATTAAAAATGTTATTCTATAGCAACTTCTAAATTGAGTCTTATATAGAAAGAAATGTATTAAGAAAAAATATGTGAATAAATATTCCCACAAAATACATCTGAATGGTTTAAAAAAACTGGAAGAGAGCTATCAGGGCTACAATAGTGAATGTCTTTTTTTTTTTTTAATATCAAAATTACCTACAAGCAGATTTCATGTTTTCAACATAAGGGAAAATGTTATCAGTGAATGTTTAGGTGTAGTGCACTTTACCTGGTATAATTGAAAGTTGCACAGTACTGTTTCCATATTTTAAGCTTTCTTCAATGTCTTTAAGTATTTGCTTTTCTGTTTAAAGCTGCTATTCTTTTTCTTAATTCTGTAGGTTTTTCCCCTACTCTGTTGCTTCTGTTTCTTACATTTTTAAAGGACAGGTACAGGAGCAACTGCTGCTACCCAGAAAAACTTTTGTATTATAAAGAATTAAAAGTGTTTTTAATTGATTTCTGTGTAATTCTAGGCCAGATAACATTTTCCCTGAAGTTATGCTGTGAAATGCCTTTTGTTATGCTGCAACTGATAAAAGAATTCAGAAACTCCATTGTAACATACAGCAGCACAGTTTTCATAGGTGCTTTTTAATCAGTTATTCTTCCCTTAATATTTTTCTGCTATTATAAAATCTCAATTTGATTTATTTTAATGTCATGTTTTGAATTTTCTAATCTTTCACCTCCTTAAAAAAAAAAAAAAGAATGTGAATAACTCATTTGTTTCCTTGCTACTGGTATATTGTTGTGATAAGAATTAATAGGGTCTTTGTGTGTTGGAACCAACTCTATGGCACCTAACACCACCAAAGGAAAAGATTTACTACAACTGTGGTAGTTAACTGCTCAGATTCTCCTGGAAGTTGCTTTTCTGATATGATTTACTTACTAACTTCACTTTTTTAAAATCAATTGGCTTAAATTCACTTTTTCTTTGTATTCTGTACCATACTCTTACAATCTTATTAACTTGGTCTTTGTTTATCATAAGGTTCTATGCTTCAGCTGCTACAATAGATGCTCCTGTGGTTTTTAAAGAAAGTTCAGTGTTTGTCAGTGTCAATGCTACTTGATTATTATCTTTGTCTAGAACAGTGTTTATTTAAATCTGTTTATAGCAGTCCCTTTTTGTTAAAATTTACATAAGTTAGTATTTTTACTTTCAGCTCAGTCTCCATCAATGGCTTTCTAAAAAGAATACCTTAGATACAGAAAACAATATTTTTAAAGCCCAACTGCTCCAGTTTGTATTCAAAATCAAAGTTGTTATTCTAGAGATTATCATAAGTAATATTCTATGTAATGTCACTTACGATATTTGTAAATCTGTATGTGAACAGTGAATAATGTTTGTAGGACGGACAAAGTCATATAGGTATTTAAAAGTTTAGCTGAAAATTACTGACAACTAAATATTATGGAGACAAAGATTGAAAGTTAGGTCATTGAGTTGGTTATAGCTTTCCTAGGACCTTTATTAATACTAATTTTTCAAATAATATCACACATGTATAGAAAGCACTATGTCCTGAGATTTCACTTCAGTGCCACTGTTTCTCCATAATGGATTGAATGCCAGTTTTGACTCTTCATCTTATTTTGATCTGTTTCTCTTTCCCACCTCTCAAAATGTTTAAGAGAAGGCAAAATTATTCTGTCTTGCTTTTGGCTCTTTGCCAGAAAATAGACTAATCATAGTCTTTTAATATGTTTTTCAGATCTGATTGTAAATCAGATTATAGTTTAAAGAGGAATGTTTGTGATTGAGATAAAAATAATTGTTTCTATAACTGATTTTTTTTTGTGATAGCTAAAACAACATTAAAAAGATTATGTTGTTAACTGTTCATAATATGTAGATTTTGGTTTCTTACTGCAATGTTGTATTTCTTTTAAGTGTTGTAGTTATTTCAGCTTTCACCCACTAGACACTGAATGTCGCCAAAAAAAATGCCTACAGTATGTATTTCAAAAAGATTTCCATTGAAATAAGTTAATGAAAATGGCAGATTATTTTGCAAAGCTTATTTGACTCACAGCTGTGTTTCTAAGTTTGGGTATAGTAAAGTTTAACAGCAGCCATTTAAATTAATATAATATAGCTAGATATAACATGGAGATATTCTTTAAAAGAAAAAGATTATAAATGTAATGCAAATATTACTTAATTTTATTTACTAACTTGCAGAGTGGATGATGGCAATTTCCTAACAAAAAGCGACATTTGAACAAAGCATGAAACTAGTTTTTTAAATTCAAGAATAATTGACTTTACTATCTACTGTTATTGAATTGACATCCACATCATGCATTGATTAAAAAATATCTGGATCATCTTATTCCTTCACAGAGGAAGTTTCCATGCAAATCAGATTATCAGAAACTGTGTAAAATGACATAGAGGTGAATGATGCTATGAGTAAATGAGATATGAGTGAGTAGGGTTCTTTAGTTACTGGAAGTCTTGTGGTTCGTATGGGCCATTTTCTTGAAATTTGATGTATCCTGAGGAGAGCTCAGTATATGTTGAGACTGGGTAGTTGAGTATGAAGTAGTCTTAGAGAGATTTTTTTTTTTTTTTAATTCCTAGCATGCCAATATTTTGTCTTTGGCTCATTCCCTTCTGAAATATGTAACTTCTGAATTTTCACTATGTTGTGCTGTGAATAACAGTAGTTAATTATCTGTTTTACTTCTTCTTTACCTAGATCTTCTCATTCTGAAACTAAATATATTTAGAATATACCTATAAGTAGGTATATTCCTAGTGAAATATGTTCTTATTATTCAGGAACAGCTAGTGATACTGTTTTGGTAATAAATTGCTCAGACAATACTGTTGAGTATCATATTCTGTCAATTTTGTGCTTAAGCTACTGAGTATTTTTTAAATCACAGAATTCTTGTATTGAACGGCAAATATCTAGTCTTCTGCATCATCCAATTCTTTGTGGAAAATAAAAGATTTACAGCATTGAAAAACCAGAATATGTTAATATTTAGTTTCAGTTGAAAGTGTAGCATTACTGTACTTAAAGGCATTGGTATATTTTCAGATATTTAAGCCACCATTAATTTCAGACTAATAGTTAATGAAATGATTTTTAACTCCTCACTTACAAAGGACAAAAAGCAACATGGCTTAAATACCCATCCCAGAAATGAAAAAATAATAATAAAGTGATATTGTAGTACCTACTAACCAATGTTGTGTTTCTTAGCTCTGCCCTGGACTATGAGGCACCTCTGAGAACTCCCAAGTCTTGGTACCAGAGTAACTAACTTTTCCTATTATTAAATTCTCATGCCTTTCTTTCTAATTTGATACATTGATATTGAGAGGTACAATTGAGATGATTTATGTTTGATCAACTTAGTTTCACTTGTATCCTGTTACCATTGAACCTGGTGGCAGCATCTTAAAAATGTTTTACTATTACTCAATAGCATTTTGAGCAGCTGTATGCATATAATACAGTAGCAATTCCTATAGGGAGATAGGGGATTTTAAAATTTGATGATGATATTGATCATTTTTACAGCAATTCATTATATTTTCTTTGCAATCGCTTTGATATGAATTTTATTGTTTGCAAATCATGATTATTGCTTTGTTCATGATTTCACAACTCTTCTGTAATACCTCTTAATTTCCTCTATTAGAAAGTATTTTCCAGTTAAATAAGGTATGAAATGCATCAATCCTAAGAAATATAGAAAATGTATTAGAAACAACTTGTATTGATATATTCTAAACTAAAATGGAGCAATTCATTATTGATATTTTGATAAATAAAACTTCCAAATGATTTTGCCAAATTAACCCATTATTTGTAAAGTAGAAAATAAGAGAAGAATAATGTCAGGGAAATTTGTCATATCTGTCCATAAATCTAGAAACAGTGTATCAGTATATTACAATAAAACTGAGAAATATGAATGCTGAAAAGTTACCATGAAGTAACTGATAGAACATCTATATCTATTTTTCCTCATTATCACAAAATTGAATCCAAAAATGTTTGTTAAAACTTCAAAATTGCTTAAGAATTGACTGGTTTGTAGTGGTGATGGAAAAAGAGGTCTATTTTCATTATCTTAACCATAATTAAAGAGGTATTTTGTAATTTGTAATTTAAAATCTATTTGTAAATTTTATAATTAAAATATGTTTGGAGAACTATTAAGTTTTGAGGAGGTATCAGCTGGCAGTGCACAACTTTTTAAGTTTAGGTTGAATTTAGTAATATTCCATTATGTTTTAAAAGAGGAGTAAATAATACAAGGGAAATAAATCTTTTGAAGCACAATTTTCAAGATGTAATACTGAGTTTTGTAATGTAGTGGTTCAGAACATGGGCCCTAGAGCCAGACAGCCCATTCTTACCCTTTCTGTGATATTGGGCAAAATACTTAACCTTGCTGTGCCTCACTTTTGTCTATTGAAAATAGATAATACTACTTCCTACTTCACAGTTGTGAGGGTTAAATATGAAGATACATATATGTACCAGACATAGTAAGCCCTTAATAATGTTAGCTGTTATTATCACAAAAAAGTACCTGTGTTTGTTTATGAATAATTTTGTTACTGTGTCCAACCATGGCTTATAGAAGTAGTAATGTCTAAGACCTTAACTATATTAAAAACCTAGATATAATAGAGACTATTGTAGGTTCTGATTTTTACTCTGTTGCTCACATGTAGTGACTTTACTGTTTCAGCAATTGTATATGTTAAGCACTACTTAGTACTAGGAATTGTACGGGACTGAGAATATAGAAATGAAAGATAGCTGACCTCTTAGGAACATAGTTTTTAGTGAGTGAAGCAGTAAGTAAACCAGCAAACATAATAGTAATAAATACTTGGCTAAACATAACGGTAGCGTGTTGTAGGGATGTAGAAGAGGGTCATTAAAATCAGACCAGACAAAAGTATGATTAAACTAAGTCTAACAGATCCTAGTTCTAGGGTATGTGGTAAAAGCCCATGTGGAGAAGAAAGTCTGGGAAGAGTGTTCCTAAGACAGCTAGGAAATACAAAGATACGACACTCTTTAAGAG